ACTGGGAAAGCCTGACAATGCAGTGGCCTTTGGTAGATTGGCTGACACGTACGTAAGAGCAGTTCTGAAGGCAGGTTCTAACTATCGGCCATTTTGTTTTTTGCAAATTAGACCGTTAATAACGCAAAATTTCGCTTGGGAACCGGGTTAATTGGATTCAGCATCCCAAAATTATGCTTATAAGCCTGGTTCCCAACTTTTACCACAAAATGCCCCTACTATTCATCTTTTGTGGAAATCCCACTAGACTATTACACCGAAACAGCCTGTAAAGGGCCCAAGTTCCCTTCACACTATCTTATTCATTTAATTGTTTGTGCAGTAACAGTATATATATATATATATATATATATATATTAGATTAATTGTGAAATTTTTGTAATATAATGTGATAAGCCGAAAACCTATTGATATTCCTTTCCGAAATAAGACAGTTTGATGTAAAACTTATGTCTTAAACCGTTTTTATTCGCACATGTATTTTAAGAGTTAGATTTTTAGGCTATTGTGTCATATCGGATATGGACAGAACATAACGTCGTAGACATTCCATCAAAATACGTGTACATTTCTTCAACAAACATTTGCCTGTGTTCTATTTCAGCCAACGTTCAAAGCTGCGTTGGAATAACTACTAGTAACTGTGGATCCGGCGTATTTCACAATAGGTCATGTTTTTGTCTGGAGGTTCACCCGGGCCGAGTAAGCCAAGATGGATATACTTGGGGGCAGGCAAACAGCCTATGTCTCAACAGAGGAGCAAGACTTGCCCATATTGAAAACCAGTCCACACAGAATGCTATAGTCAGCCATATTAAAGCAGAAAGCATGAGGGACAAGTGGCGTTACGCTGGAAACTACTGGCTGGGGGCCGTATGGAACACAGCAGAACCATATACGTGGGTTTGGGAAAATGGTATGTTTATATAAACTATAAAGAGTCATTGGAATGGGTTTGGAAACTTTAGCATAAAAACACGTATCAATGTCTTAGAACTTTTTTCAGAATCAAAATTATAATAACTCCTCATACATTTTGAAAAATGATAGTCTCACCAATATTACGTCCAACTGCAGTTTTCAGGAATCAAAATCTTCCTTCATCATCGACAAAGCTTTGTCAAAGTGTCAAAAATGGACTATTAAAAAATTAGCAAGCGTTTCTGTCCATATAAAATGTTGCGTATTGACTACAAGAACATCATTTAGAACGTTTTAGTCTTAATGTTAGTGTTGGGCTTTCTGATGTTTTCTGATGTTTGCCAGTAACGGTTTTTTATGTTTTTTAGGAAAGCAGTTGGATTATTTCAACTGGGACTCACATGGAACGCAAAAAGCAAATGCTCGCGAAGTCATCAAGCTTGCCTGGTCAAGGGAATTCAGATGGGTCACTGGGGTTGCCACAGACATCAACTATTACATGTGCCAGTCTGGTAGGAAGCAAATCTTTTATTTCAACAATTGCACGGACATGAGATTATTTGCTTCATTGTTGATCTCACTCCCTTGCATATGTACGCGCGTAAGCGATCAAAAAAATTAGATACCTGTAGGTGAATTGTGTGCTTCTGCTTGGTCAGTTACCATGCTCTTAAGATCCAAAGATATATTGTATTTTTGTAAATGTAAACGAAACTAAAATTCCAGAGCAAAGGCCCTGTCAGTTATATCAGTACTGAGTACATTGCTTAGACATAGAGTAAAAATAATACAACCAGGTAAAAACGTGTTAGCTATCCCAATCAAAACTGTGTTTTTATATCTCCTAGGTCCCAGATGCCCGGAGTCCCACCCAGAACACAGTAAACTGGTGACATCAGACATGATGAGTTCTAGCTATGTCTGTGAACATGGATACCACGTGAACGGAGACGGTAGCTTTTCCATAGTTTGTCTTCCAAATGGAAAGTGGAATATCACAGCAGGTTGCTCAGGTAAGTCGAGTACCCTCCAGCACGCCCAGGTTTTTATGGGGGGGGGAGGGGGGCTTGGGGCCGTTATGGGCCACTGACTGGGCCCTAATTAGACACGGTCACATGTATCATCCTTCATACAACAATGACTTTGAATTCTTAATTGAATAGTTTGTCCGTTCCTGTCACAGCAATTTATTGTCTAGGTATCCAATGCAGGAGACAAAAAGTGGGATTCAATGATTTTTATACAAATTGTACTAAATGCATGTAAAATATACAAGCATTTTAAATATTTATCAAATCCATTTATCACATCTTTTGATATTGAATTTGTATATTTTAAAATAAGAATTCACGCAAATAATATCCATAATCTTTACAGACATGAACGAATGCATCCTGGGCACCCACAATTGCAGTCAACACGCAAAATGCACAAATTTACCTGGTAGTTTTAGCTGTTCTTGTGATTCTGGCTACAACGGTGATGGCTACAACTGTAATGATATTGATGAATGCCAAACAGCCAACAACTGCAGCTCATCAGCTAGCTGTACCAATACCAAAGGTGGCTATAGCTGCTCTTGTAATTCTGGCTACAGTGGTGATGGCTACAACTGTAATGACATTGATGAATTCAATACAAGCAACAACTGCAGCTCCTCGGCTAGCTGTACCAATACCAATGGTGGCTATACCTGCTCTTGTAATTTTGGCTACACTGGTGATGGCTACAACTGTAGTGACATTGATGAATGCAAAACAACCAACAAATGTAGCTCCTCAGCTAGCTGTACCAATACCGATGGTGGCTATACCTGCTCTTGTAATGCTGGATTCACTGGTGATGGCTACACCTGTAATGACATTGATAAATGCAATACAAGCAACAACTGCAGCTCCTCGGCTAGCTGTACCAATACCAATGGTGGCTATACCTGCTCTTGTAATTCTGGGTATAATGGAAACGGCTATCTTTGTGAAGGTAGGTATTTTTGCTATGAAGCTCGCTCCATGAAATTCAAGGAATACTGTAATTGCAGCAAATATCATGTTTACTGGATGGTAAATGCATAGTTTGAGGAACAAAAAAATAATAATAGTGATGGAATATTGCGCTATGGTAACAGATAAAACCAATAAAATCAAGCGCAAGATGGTTTTTGCTATTTTTTTTGTAGATGTGGATGAATGTAGCAATGGTCAACACAACTGTTCTGGTGAACATGTGGTTTGTCGTAACACCTTTGGGAGCTACAAGTGCCAGTGTGAAAATGGTTATTTTGGAAATGGAAATACGTGTTCCAGTAAGTTATATTAGTCTTTTAATTTTTTATTCAAAATACAGTAAGATAATGTACTGCATATTTGTGAAAAAATTATAGCACAACATCAATATTGTAGTTAAATAGGTTTAACATCATTGCGTACGCTCCTGCTCTGCCTACATATGTTTCGCCTGCTTTCTCATGGTAAATAGGACATTAAAAACAGCACTCGATTATAATTAAGAATATAGGGGTATCTCAAGGATAGTTTGTTCAAGAATAACCCTCAAACAATTGGTGAAATGAAGGTGGCCAGCACAACAAAAATCAGGGAAATCCCGAAGGAGTAATGTGTTCGAGTAATTGACAAATTTTCGAAACGTTTGCAATTGTGCCTCTAATGCCGCAGAAGCCATTTGGAGCATATTTCTACAAAAACAAACATACCTTTTAAGTAAAAGTGACCAAGATAAGTGAAACTTGGGGGAATTATCATACCCATATTGAAGTTTAAATCCAGGAAATTTATTGAAATTTGATGGACCTTTGTAGGATTAAATAAAATTTGCATAGGTTCTTTTTTTTTTTTTTTTTTGGGGGGGGGGGGGTAACCTGTGGATTTTTCAGAGCTAAATATATTCTAATTTTTTTGTTTATTCTCTTTAGTTGTTACCTGTCAGTTACCAAAGTTACCAGACACGGTGGTTGTGACATATGATAACCTGGTATTTGGCAGCACGTTAACCTACAGCTGTAGTGATGGAGACTTGGTGTTGGCAGGGAGTTCAACAGCAGTTTGCATGAATAACGGGAGTTGGAGTTCCGAACCTCCATCTTGCACAGGTAAATATGCTCAGAATTAAAACATTTCATTTGCAAACCCTGCATAGTTGTTTACAAGGTTCATGATTTGTATAATTTGGAAACATAATTTTAACTGTTCTCAAAATAAGATCTTGGTAAGCCAAGCAACTGACAAGTAAACTTGTTTAAGACTTGTGTGTTTATTTTACGTTTTTTTTAAATATTACAATCTGACTATTGTAGTCGAGTTTCCAACAACATGTGTGTGTGGAAAATTGTAAAAAAGATTTATTATTGTTAATAATCGGTGATGAAATTATAAAAGAATTATTAATCAACTATCCATTATTTATATCATAAATCAATCTGATCTGAGTAAGAAGCCAAAGATTGCAAGACGCAGATTAATTGCAAGGGATCACCAAAAGTAAACTAAGGGCGGGGACGGGGGTGAGGCGAAGGTGCTCTGATGTTCGGGGTTGGCAAGGCACGTGTCTGTTTGCGCTGAACATGAACATCCTCCCCTCCCCCTTTGCTCCCCCTGTTACTCTTTGACTGCAGATTTGGATATCAATTTCTGATTTTGCAAATGGCGATATCTTCTTTTGGGCACTAGTGTTTGGACTATCTAGCAGCAAATATCTGGTTTATCAGGAATGCTCAATCAGAAAGTTCCATTTGATAGCCAACTTTATGTATTGATTTATACCCTCATTACATGTACGACTAAGCCATATGTACCTATAGTGAATATTCACGTGACGTGACAGAAAAGTCATTAATCTAATTTTCTCCCCCTCTCTCTTCGAAGTAATTTTTGTCCAGTTTTTTTTTTTTTTTTTTTTTTTTTAGCAATTTTAGGGTTTTTTAAAT